GATCCATATCTTGGTGTGATGGCTCCGGTGGGAGAGATGTGGTGGTGCAGATGGTGGAGTTAGGTTGATGTCAGGGTAGAGTAGGGAGTCCACGAAGACCTGGCCCGATGACCCCTGACCCCGGGACACCTTCAGGTTGGTCTTCTCCTGGTCTACACTTTGATTTGTCTTTTTTTTTTTTCGTTCAGTCAATTGTCAATTGTTTTCTTTGAGGTTCAGATGTTGGACCACAGGCCCTGGATTTGACCAAACTGAGGTGGAGAAGTTCGGTAACGCTGGAGAGACCCAGACGGACCAGGGGGACCAGGGGGACCAAGATGGACCAGACCAAGGAAGATCTCCTCCACGGACGCCTTCAGGTTGATTTTACTGACTGTTGATACCAAACCAACCCAGAGTTGGAGACACAGCAGAAGAAGAAGAAGACGACGTGTCAATGATGACGTCATCTTTGGTCTGAGGTGGAGGTCAGAAGATGACTGGACTCTGGTTTCTGTCTTCAGATGTCAAGACTTGGAGAGGTGGTGCCATGTTGGACCACGAACACTGGAGAGGACAGAAGGTGGACGAGACGGACAAGGACGGAGGACACGGACCAGACCGTGGAGGAGACGGACCAGGACTGTGGCGGTGGTGGACGAGACGGACAAGGACAGAGGACACGGACCAGACCGTGGAGGAGACGGACCAGGACTGTGGCCGTGGACCAGGACCGTTCAGATGGATCTTCTCTTCTCTTCTAAAGGACGACTTCAGGTTTGTTCTTTTTCTGGCAACAGCTGTAGTTGACCAGGAGCTACTGACACATTTGAACGATGATGTTGCTATGCTAATCCAGCTATGCTAATCCAGCTATGCTAATCCAAAAATAGTTACGTGGAGGTCAACTGGATGGCGTAGGTTTCTGGAGGACGTTTTTCCTCATCCTTCAGTTCTGACATTTAGCCTCAGAGGTGGCGCAGCTGTAACGAGGGTCGTCTAATATAAGGGAAGGGGGAGGGGGAGGGGTGTGGGCCACACCCTATTCAAAAGAGGGATTGAATGTACCATGTCACATGGTTGGAGGTGGGAGTGGGGAGTGGTACCACAGCTGTGGACCAGTAGGGTCACATGAGCCACAGGTTTGTCCTGGTGTCTTTGAACTGAAACTGGGGTCTTGTTTTCAGGGGGTCGGATTATTTCTGGAGTGAACTCAGGACGACGTTATAGGTGGATGAAAGGTTGTCTCCACCCACCTCCTCTGCTGAGAGACGGTTTCTCCAGATTGACGTAGATGTTGTCCTTCACCCCTGTCTCCAACCCCGTCTCCAACCGTCTGTCTTCTGATTGATTTAAATTGAGTTGATGAACAGAAATGTTTTATCTTTGAAACTTGCCCATGGATGATGTTTGTTAACATCATTGGACGTCTTATTGGACAACCGTGTCTCCACCTGGTTCTTAGTCCCTGAACTGGATCTGGACTCAGTCTGGTTTGACTCTTTGCCAAGTTCACTTCCTTAAAGCTGTTCAGTTTTTTTTTGTTTTTTTTAAGCTACGTGTGTTGTATTGGGAGGCCTCCCAGCAGGGGGCGTTATTACACCCCCTGCAATCGTTCTAACAGATGCTAGGCTAAGTTAGCTTCTCACCTGAGACAGACAGGACACCGTAGACCGCGTTAGGGTTTTAGGACGAAGAGAACCTGGCAGAGAGACAACTCAGAATGTTGAGGTTCATTTACTCCTGACTGAAACTTCTGTCCCAGGTCTGAAGGTCCTCTGGTCCCTCAGGAGATCGTCTCCCTGACTTGTCCCCAAGTCTCCTCTGGGTCTGTGTGTGGTCTGTGGACGTCCGTCCCTGGTCTGGTCTCATCTTCTGAGGTGAACTTTTGCTGAGTCAGCGTGGTCTTTCTCTAACTTTGGTTGGATGTTCGTTGGACGTCCATGGAACGGACTTCTCTAAATGTTGGCTCCCGGTTGGTGAAATGGTTCAGTTGGCTCAACCGCAGGTCGTGGTCCAAATCCTAGCCGTAGCTTCTCCTAAACCTGGACTCTGTCAGGTTCTACGAGCCGGTTCTCCTCCACACAACAGAACAAGGTCCAACCGAGTCGACTCATGGAAGGACTTTGTCCTTCTCCTTCTTCTGAGTGTGTGGGAGGAGTTCTGGCCGTGGACCCTCACAGAGGTGTGTACCCTGGACGCAGTTTCCAGAACCAGACCTGGATCCATCTGGTTCTGTGACCCGGCCCACCCGGGGTACGCACTAGATACTTAGATCAGACCAGTAAATGTTAAGGAACCTTTGTTCCTGCTGTCGTCGACTTGTTGTCGCTGCACGACTGAATCATTTGGTCCAAACTGTGGAGTCCAACATGTCCTGCGGTCCGTCCTGTGGACGCTCCCACGGTTCATCCGGTCCAATTCCTGAGAATACCTGCTGGGTTTGGGAATTGTTTGTCTCTGGGGGGAGTCCAGGTGGAGGTGGGGGTGGGGGTCATTCTGTGTTGACCCCGGTGCAGCTGTCTGTAACATAATGGTGTGACCTTTACCCTCTGCTCCTCGACCAGTCGACCAGCCGGCGGCTGGACACAGAATCTACCACTTTATTATTTTAGTTAGTTTTTTTCGGGTGGTAATCCTTACTCGGTCCGTTTCGGAGGGTTGGAGTCGACCGCGCCGCTGGTCTGCTGCACCCTCACGAGCTGGACGGATAATGTATGCCAGGTAGGGGGCGCCACTGAAGTGTAGTCAGGGTTCAGTTAGTTTCTTTGGTGTGGTTAGGGGTTGAGGTGCAACAGCCAATCACCTGGAGTTTCTACTGCAGCAGCGTCATTGGCCGAACTCCCCGTGACATGAAGACGGGTCACGACCCTGGGGTTTTTTTTGTTTTGTTTTTTTTTTTTTAAGCGAAGGTTTTGTCTTTTTGTCTGGTGAGAAATCTCAATGTGGTCATGTCCCTCTGTCACCTGTAGGTGGCAGAGTCCCGTTTGTTTCCGTTGTTGCTCCGCCTGTGTTCTGTCTTGTTGTTGTTTTTCAGGTGTTGACTAAACCACTCTGAACCCACTGGAGTGCTGCGCCACCTACTGGACTGTTCACCTCTGTTGTCACTGAAATGTTTTATTTGTGTATTTATTTATTAAACAGTTTCTTTAACTTTAACGGCGACTGATGTGTTTGAATCAAACTTCCTTCAGTTCTGACCAATCGTTGGCTGAGAACAGACGTGACGACTCCGGTCTGGTCACCTGACGCTGGCGTGGTGACACTGCTGCCTCCTGTGGTCAGTATGTGTCACTCATGTGAAAGGATTTAAAAAGTTACAGACTACGTTTTGGGAGGTTTAGATGTTTTTAAATTATTAACATTAAATATTTACACGACAGCAAATTAGCACTGAAGACGAACTGAAGACGAACTGAAGACGAACTGAAGAGGACACGTTGTCTCGTGTCAAACACTGATGAAAACAAATCATTTGATTCAGAGTTTTTCTCCGTGGACTTTGATTTGAACCAAAGTCAAACCGTTCTTCGTCTTCTTTTCCTCCTCGTCCTCCTGAGGACGTGGACAGCTGCCGTCCTCCGTCCGACTCTGACACCAGGCTCATTTCTTATCCATGGAAACAGATGCTCATTGGCCACAGAGACTGCAGGTGGCGCCAGAGGAGACTGATGTGAAGACCATAATGAATGTGGGTGTAGTTTGGAGATGAGAACCTTCTGATGTTCTACGTTCCTAACCCTGGACAGAGAACTTGTCCTCTCACTGATGATTGACAGCCACGCTTTGTTGCCGAGCAACGCCTGTATTTCTGTGGATGCAGAAAACAGAGATGAGTGATGAGGAGACGTGGCGTCATGGCAACCGCCGCGATGCTGCCCCCTCTGTTTGTGCCTTTGATTTAGGAGCTAATTAACAGTAAAGACTCCAGTTCACACACACACACACACACACACACACACTAGTTTATTGATGAGTGTAAAAAGAAAACCACGGCTCCTCCTCCTCCTCGCAGCTCATTGGCCATTCGCCTGCACACATAAATGGAGCTGCTAATGGTTGCTAATGGTTAGCTTTGTTAAAAAGAATCAATAAAGTCATACGTTTCCTTCAAGGACACATTGGAATGTCATTTATAATAATCCTTGGATCGTTCCTTCTGGTCCAGTCTGGTCCAGTCTGGTTCAGTCTGGTCTAGTCCGGTTCAGTCTGGTTCAGTCTGGTTCAGTCTGGTCCAGTCTGGTCCAGTCTGGTTCAGTCTGGTCCAGTCTGGTCCAGTCTGGTCCAGCCTGGCCCAGTCTGGTCCAGTCTGGTCCAGTCTGGTTCAGTCTGGTCTAGTCCGGTTCAGTCTGGTTCAGTCTGGTTCAGTCTGGTCCAGTCTCACTCAGCGGCGCCATCGTGCTGTTTTAATTGGATTTTCTCAGAGTGTTCAGGCTCATGAAGGCGGTCGACATCCATTTATAAGTTTGTATTAGCACGCTAATGCTGCCACGCTAATGCTGCCACGCTAACGCTGCCACGCTAACGCTGCCACTCCACAGAGCTCCTGCTCCTCCTCCTGCTCCTCCTCCAGGATGCCCAGTTCCCACTGAGGTGCTCTGAGCGTGGCACCGTCCCCACACACTGCTGCCCCCTGCTGGCTGTGGTGGTGGGTTAAAAGCAGAGGTCACATTTGGTGGTGTGCAGTGGAGCAGCTCCAAGGAGACGTCCAGTTGCTGAGAACTAAACTCTGTGGAGTTCAGTCTTTCTGATCAGATTATTGATTGGTGAGCAGCGGTAGATTGTTGTCTTTGTTAGTGACCACACGAGGCAGCAGAGGAGCAGTATTTGGTGCGTCTCTAAAATCTCTGATTTTCTCCATGGACTTTGGTCTGGGCTCTAGACTACAGCTCTCCCCCCCCCCCCCCCCCCCCCCCCGGGGCTGTGATTGAATAAATCAGCCGTTCACGCCGTAGAGCTCTGACATTAACGAGGTGATTAGCGTTGAGCAGAGACGCTGATGAACCTGAGCCGCTACGACGTTGTCTGACAAAAACACGGAGCAAGGTCGAGGCTAGAGTTAGCTGACGGCGCCAGCGTTAACTGCCGGTGATTAATGAGCTGACTCCTGCGGTCCCTGTGGAGTCTGGACCGGACCCCCGGCTCCTCACGGCGTGGAGCGGTTGATGAGCTGCTTTATGATCAACGCTGATGAACAGCTGCCTCTCAGCAGACGCAGAGTTCACCTTGGTGTCAAACCCAGGCCCGCGGTAAGGGTCGGCAACCTGTACACTGTGTTCGCTCATCAGCGTC